CATTCGAAATGTGCAAATAAACCTATTTGATACCAATTGGTTAATGAATGAATGTACGGACAGATGTATGCCACCTTCAACCCTCGATGATAAAGTCTCATCGAAAAGTGTTAAAATAGTTGTTTATTTTTAGTAACAAATTGGGCCGAATGTTGTTAATCTTGTTGTTTTCATTTTTTAGCCTTTACACCCAGTATAATCGGTCGGTCAGCTGATTTATTGTGCGTCCCGCGGGCGATGAAGCTGCTGCCCGCCGCCGCCACCCGAAAACTGGTGAGAGGGCGCAGAATGAATCGATTCGGTACCGCCGAAGGGCTGATGAGTCATTGCTATCGCACAAACCCCCGCCGCCGCCGCCCCTGATGCTATCATCAACGAAACATAATCAAAGTGCGCCACGTGTAATCACCGACCAAAAAATAACATTCAAGAGAAGGAAAGGGATCATCTGCGGTTCCGATAGAAAACATCTGCTGCTGCTGTCCCCCCTTTGCATTATTATATCCAATACATTATTGAATTAGAGGATTTATTGTATCAATAAAATAAAGTAGTAACGCCACAAAACATTAAATAAACGAGTATTTAATTATAAAACACACCCAAACGAAAAAATGAATGAAATTAGATAGCATTTTCTAACACTAACCAGCAGCAAAGACGCAATCTTCGAGATTTAAAACAATTGCTAGTTTTTCTCTGCGTGCATGATCGAATCGCTCTGGAATGAATCGGAGAGATCAATCTCTCCACTTAACCTTCTTCTTACATCTTATATTGTGAACGCGTGCCTCTCGTTCGTTTAAATCACTCGCTCCAGAATCATTTCCCTCTCGACTCCAATAAATTTAAAAGATCTCTATGATTACACCAACACCTATTCAATGCAATGATTACAATTTTCACTTTCAGAGCTTTCCATTTCGAAGATCAACGGGAGGAGAAATACCCAAGTTTAGCGATATGAAGAAAAACAATAACAACAACTTTCATTTCGATTTCCAGTGGCAATGACGATGACAATTAAAGCGGAAAGAAGATATACGCGTTCTTTTTCGATTGGTAAAAACGACCAATGCAACTCGCGTATTGGGAAAGTTCGCGATTTCTAAAACCGTCACTTCGCGTACTCTCTGTCTTTTTTTTTCTTAATATCCGCAGGTTATTTTTTTCTTCTTCTTATTCTGGCGTCTTTGTATGTTTTATTATATTGCAATCTTTGACTCATAACCGGAATGGCGTATATTAAATCACCGTTCACCGCATTTTTCGATGCTGCCGCCGCTTGCCAATCTCCGATTCTGATTCATGAAACTGGAATTCGATTAGAAGAAAAACATTGAAACACGATGATTACCTGCACGAACACGAAGAAGTCAGAAAGACGCACTTAACGCATACAAGAATTAGATCTAATGAAACAATTGAAAATGGAAATGAAAAAATCAGACGACGTTAAAAAGATTACTTCATTTGATAATTACTGCATCATTTGTACTTACATCACAAATCAACTATTGCTATGTAACTATTAATACTACACGTCGAGACCTTAAATTGATGGGCCACTCTGACTATGACAGACTTGTAATTGAACTACAGTCTAATTAATACACGTCAATTGTAATTGTCAATGATTTCACCTGAACTACCAAATAAAATCCATAACAATAAAAATAAAATGTTATCATTCAAGTCAATTTATCTAAATATAGGATCGAGATACAGATTATTTTGTGATGGAAGTAAACATATTGCATTCCTAACATGTAATGTATTTAAAGCATTCACTTAAAGCATACATTCATTCTCACAGGAAAAATTGAACACGTTAAATAATATATTAACTTAAAACCTTAGTTGTTATCATATATAGTAACAGTAGGAAAGGCACGAAGACCTTGACTCAAATTCTCTAGCATAACGTTTTGTGGAAATAAAGAGAAAAAAACGTGAATAGCAAGTAATATCCTAAGATTAGCAAATTAGTCATTATAAACTATGAAAGTTTCATCTACGAATAAATCGAGGTGAACTTAGATATTAAAACGAACAGAAATAAAATAATTGATTCATCGTAAATAGTAAAAATTAGCTAAATTAAGAGTTATCGTTAAAAAAAAATGTTAATTTCTTTTTGAAAACGTTGTTAGGATTTAAGCACTTAAATATATCCAAAATTGTGTGACAACCCAACGCAGACATTTTTAAGAGTCAAAGAACGTTAGGTAATTTAAATACAAAGTAATTAAGAAAAAATCAGTTAAGTTTAATATCAAAGTTATACTAATGGGATTGTTGTCAAACTAGTTTATTATACACGCGATCGGCGAGTGTCAAAAAAGGCTAATAAAGCGATTATACAAGTACAATATATCGGAGGAAGGACAACTCTGGAGGTGATAATTATTAGAGAAATGAAGACAATTTATAAAAAGACATCAAAATGTGAGATCAATGAATGGGTGTAAATAGAAATACCTGCAGGGTGGCCGATTTGTGGATGTTGTCGCTGCTCCTGCCGGTGGGCATTTCCTTCCACCTGAGCACCCCCATCACGGCTTGCCGGACCCACCCCCTCGGAAGTGTGTTTCGCTCGTTATCGCCGAGGGTGCGCATGTGACCGCGATCCTCATACACTATCTTTATTTCAATCCAACAAACTCCCACATCAACAGAAGATCAACACTAACCACAACTGCGCCTCGGCAGTACCACAGACTTGCACACCGTATCGTGTAAAAGACGAGACGAGAGGGTTGAAATTAATCACACTACCGCCGATTGTCATAAAAGTATGTCTCAGAAGGATGAATAAATAAAATGTAGGCCACCTCAAGGTTTTTCAAAAAGGCACTAGGCAGAGAGGAGAGTCTAGGAATCAAACAAACCGATGTTTAGTATATTTAGGCACTTCTTACGACATTTTCCGGCGCGCACAAAGTTGCTACTGTGCAAAGTTTCGATGCAGAAGACGCGCGCGTGAAGATTTTGAAAAAGAAGAGTTCGGTGGAGTACGTCGCTTTTCGAACCCGCACCGACCGCATCTGAATATGGACTGAGCAGAGGGATCGACTGAGCGAAGACAGGCGGCGCGATACGAAACGGTCAGGCACGAATCGACACGCCACGACGCACGATGTCGGCAAGACGAGGTGAGACCCGAGGCCCTACGAAGAATTACGGGCGGACAAAAGGTGAGGGAAAAAACCCTTCGCGGTAAGCGGCTGCAGTGCAACCCTAACGAAAACGATGATGACGATGACAACATTATGCGGAAAGCGATAAATATGCACGCGCATATTGAAAGTTTCGAAACATACAACCAGGTGACATCGTAAGCTAAACAATTGAATAACGAAATCGAAGCAACAACAAACAATCGAGTCACGAAATCCATTGAAGTTGTCCTAGCAACAACGTAATTATTCCAAACAACATCACGAAAAAAAGGGATAAAAGATCATTCTCATCAAAAGTCCACTTAAAGAAATAGTCCATCTTAAGAAATATACAAATATAATTAGAAATACAGATTGTAAAGTTATTTCATATAAATTTGATTATTTTTTTTTTGGGGTGTCCATTGAAAACATACATCGACAGGTGAACGGAAGTGCCGGAGCACAAATGGCGTCCGTCACCTGCGGCGACGTTGCCAGCGGTAGCACCGGCTTCAATTTTCACACACGTTTCCGTTTTCACCTGGCGACAACGATGACAAGAACCTGATTACGAATTTGCAATTCTGCAAACTGTTAATTGGACCCTACATCAGGTGCATAATGGAAGAAGGAAGGTAGCGGAGGCGGCGGTAGGCGCCGGCCTCGTCGTAAATATGAGAAAAGCACCGCGCCTTGCAGGCAAGAAGGTAGATAAGTTAGGGTAGGGCCAATAAACTAGCACAAGAAAAATAAACCAAAGTGAACAAACGAAAGCATCCCCGAGAAGGTACGGATGGAGAGGGAGAGGAAGAGGAGCAGAAGATGCGCTCAATTATGTATTACGCCCGAGCGCTGTTTTTAATAAACCAAGAACCGGAAGGAAACGGAGCCGCGGAATACTCGTAAATTTCCATCACTTATTCAAGTCGGTTTCGCGAGCGTCGGAGCGCTTACTTAAGAAGAGACAATATATTTCCAACGCAAGAAGAAACATGTATATTCTCCTTTGAAGATTAAAACGCCACAATAAAACCCTAGTGCAAATGGACGGAAAGCCTTGAATTTCTAAGAAATTTATAGAAAAACTAGCAAGAAGGAAAAGGAATAGAAGACCCGAGAGAGATTGGGACAGGTACTTTTTCTTTTTCAAAAATTGGCCGTTCTAATGATTATCACAAAAGTTTCTTTACAAAAGTTATATAAATAGAAATATATATGTTTAGAAAGTCAACATTAATTCCAGAAATAATAAATCTATTTGATATTGTATTCAATTACCTAATTATTCTTGCTATAACTATAAACGAGATATTCGTTTTTAGAGAAGAGGTCGTTAGTAAATATTGTCATTTAATTCCGTAATTTGGGGGGGGGTTGGATTAAATTAACCGGAGGTTGAAGGGAGGTCATTACCTGGGGGGTGGTGTGGGTAGTTTAGCATAGACATAGTCCACAATTCACCTGATATACGGAGTGGCGGCGCGCGGACCGCCCCCATTTTGTTTGTTCGGAAGTGGAAAATCGTGTTCGCCGTATGGACGCATAAATACAAAGACGGTAGCGCAGTTTCCGTTTCCTGTGTCCACATGCATACACCATATAATACAAATATACACAGACATATGCACACGCAAAACAAAACAATTTCCTCTCGCTAATCGCGAAACACAAGTGCTTTGCATAACCATTTATAGACGCAAAATGAATCAATTAATGCCGATGAATACGAAATTATATCAATTATGGTTAAAGAGTGACGCCCAACGTGAACCAATAATTTCATAAATCAACCAATTTATTCTATGTCAGATAATCATGTAGAATAATAGTATTTACCTGACCGGTATTGCAATTGGATTGGATCGGAGAACATACCTGCAACAATAAAAAAATAAACGTTAAATGTTAAATGTCAATTTGTGGCATGCAATAGATCAATCTTATTTAGTGAGACATGATGACACGCTGTAATCCTAATCCGCAATGTTTGGGAAATCACTTAAATGTTATGTTCCGTCCCTTTGCGAGTTGGGGCTGTCTGGATGCGAGGAAAGTTTTATTGTACACCTGAGGGTGGATTAAAGGGAGGACAAGCAAAGCAAGCGCCCGACGTGATCGGAATTCGGCGATGCGATTTGATTAAACAGGAGAAGGGCAGAGCAGGGCGGGGAAAAGGGCAAAAACGACCATCCGCCTTCACCTCTCCATGAACTTACAACAGCAGCAATGATGAAATTGAGCCAGCCGTGAAAGAATGAGAAAATAAGGAAAAAAACAAGTTGGCAATTGTATTTTCTCAGTCTACTTTGACGACGCGTTCTTCCTCCATTGTCTTTTTTTTTGTTGATGCTTTTATTTTGAGGGGGACCTTCGTTAAATGAAAAAAGAAATAATAAAACTAAAGTCCATTTTACCCATGTGTTTGCGATGGTACGAAGCCCCCGAGTTGAGGAGGAATCAGCGTTGCGCGACGCGAACATCCGGTCCCCGTGTTTCCGGTGCGTTGGGTTCCACCGCACAAAAACCGAACACGCATGGGAACCGGGAGATGCAAACTCCACCCAAGATCGGATTTAATGGAAACCATGATTACATTTTAATTGCAAAAGAAAGTGGAGGAAATTCCAAAAACCTCTTCGCAGCAATATTAAATTATTTCATATAAATATATATATAAAAACGAAGCGCCAAAACAAGTTTCACATTAGAATATCAAATTTCCTCACATCACATTTGAAGCTAACATTAAATCTTTTATCGAGGCTTTAAACGTCTTCTCTCTTTTCTCATCGTACGACGACCAAAACGTGAGAAATCGGAGAAGACTACTTAATGGAAAACGCGCTCCAGACATTTAAATTCGGATCTACCCAAACATATTCCACCTGGCAGTGTGCGTTACGTGACGTAATTATCATCATAGTCCAAATTGTTTCTATCTGCGAGAATAGACTGCGTTCATTAGCATATGCCGGAAATTGAAAATGTACCGACGGAGAGATGTGTACCATGAAAATTATTCCAGAAATGAGAGGATTAGCGGCGTTAAATCCACCGTTTCCACAAAGAAGAGAAGCGTTTTCAATGTATCACAAACTAACAATAAGGTTAAGAGTTAATAACACGATGAAAACCGATGACTCAATGAGAAGAAGGTGCGTTAGATATTACGAATTCTTGCAGCGGTAAAACAAACGCTTCATCAAATGGAAACAAAACCAAAAAAACACGGTAGATGAACACAGAAAGAATAGAGGTGACTTATTTCATATGCAAAGTTTGTACGTTGGAAATAAAAACAAAAAAAAAGAAAGAGAAAATAACGTGCATTCGGAGGAGTGTAGAAAATGAGCGTGAAGAAAAAACAAAGCTACAAAAGGTGAACGAAAAGAAGAATGCGCACTCGAAAATTTCGGTCCCGGTGGAAAACGAGGCAGAAAGAACGAAGGAAACGTGGCTCGCATAATAAATGACGCTGCACTACATTATGTAAGACTTGAAGAGTAGAAAAGATAGAAAAGAAAATGAAGAATGGTTCCTCCTTTCGGATCCTTCCTATTATTGCGGACTTGGAGAAATCCAATTCGAACAACTCCAAACTTTAATTAAATAATTGGATTCGCGCAAATTGATGAATTATTTAAACCAATTACCGACGGTGAACTAGAATTCGACAAAACTTAGAGAAAGCTAACTTGTATTTACTTTATATAGTTAACTAATAAATAAGAATAACGATTATTGAAGGAGCAGTTTAGAGAAATTATTAATAGATGCAATTTCATCTTATAAAGGTAAAGAGATTTACCTATTAATTTATATCGAACTTTCTACTAATTCAATTTGTACTTGTTGTTTTACTATCAAATTTATTTACGGCGATGAGAAAGTAACATCTGCAGAAAACTGTTAATTTCTTAAATTCTCGAGTAAAATTAGTGCAAAAGTCAAGAAAATCCTAGATATGATGACCACAAACAAGAAGCGCACAACGTATATGTCCGTAATATAAATTAATGAATTTCCCTTTTTCGAGAGTAATAAAACTGAACGTCATAAAAATAAAGTAATGTCAGTTGCAATTTGCGCCGCACGAAACGTATAAATCTCGAATAGGGAGAGCAAATAAAAAGACACCAAATGCAATAAAACTCTGCAAACTATAATAATATACGGAGCGAAAGAAAGTTTAGTGCGTTCGTCAATATTTGAACGTAATATCATCGATTGAATAACCGAAGGAACAATTTTCAATTTACTCTTTTTTTTGCTCTCGGCAAGATGAAAGAAATAAAAATGAAAGGACAAGTCTATTCGGGTTTCCCGCATTTTCTTTCCGTGACGTCGGGGGGGAAGGAAATAGATAGTAAATTGAATATCGACGTCGTGTGTTTTCCAGCTGCGCCGGAAACGTGGGGTAGATAGAGAACCGTGGGCTTTTCAGTTGGATATATGTAATATCTTTCCCTTCTAGCAAACTTTATAAATTCGCCCGCATTTTCCGGCTTCGTCCTGAGCCGCACATTACGTCTACCCAAATGCCCATACACAGGGTGATCCGATTCCCACATAGACGATGACTAATAAGGGTCTACGACCTCCACCATACACTCAGACTTCTTCGAAATAGAACAAAACAGTGATCATTAGTTAAAGCTATAGTACGTAACCATGACTAGGATGAGCATGCATTGTCTGGTATTGGAACACCCTGTGGATATGAATGTAGCGAACGAACGTAGTCCTTCTTTTCCTATTCGTCGTTTCAGTTTATAGAGTATAGTTATGCTAGTAGTTCGCATTGCAAAATCGATTCCTATGGCTCCGACACGGAAATCCACATCGCATGACTCACACTCATTTTCTCATGCATAAAGTGAAGTGTGCAATAATATACACTACTCACAACACACACACACAACCCTTAGCCAATTCACTTGTTTTACCTACAAATTCAATCTATTTACTCTCTTCAAGAAACAAACTACTATACGTAATAACAATGTACATATAAAATGAAAAGTCTGCACATATACTTTACAAAATAAGAAATTAATATGAACACCTGTTCATCAAAGGGTCACCTGTTTCCTAAATTAAGACCGAAACGATGCTTCACTAGAATACGTCACATACACCATATGCTAAAGAGTTATAACCCTTTTCATGGATAAAACTTAAAATAAGCATCTGTAGGTGAATGCCACTAGATACAGAAACTAAAATGGGAAGAGGAAGATATTTGATTTGCGTACACGAGTTGTTGCATAATTCATGTCTAGCAAGTGGAAAAATCCGGCGGCGACTTTTGATGCATCGGCGATTTGCATGCAGGCTTATGATGAAGAAAAAAAAGGGACAGGAAATAAAAGAGAGACTGCTTGGAGAACGACGGCGGCGGCGACGGTGGTGGTATGCGACGCGGAAAATCCAATAAATCCGGCGGCGACGGCGGTTTTGGTGGCGCCAAATCGATACATCGTAAGCCGCCCCCGCATCGCCAAAGAAGATGAAAAGAATAGAAAGTTTTTTTTAGGTAATTTCGGCACTCCGCGGATGCGTTACGGCGATTTAGTCAACCAGGAAAGGTGATGTAAAAGGAATTTGAGATTGATTCGATGACGGGATAAGCAAAAACCAAGCGTATGTATGTATAATTAATGCCATTAAATGAATTTGGAATATTAACGAAATGCAAATCCGACGCTGAAGCGACGAGTTCACAAAATAGATGAAAACAGTTCGGAAAAACTTGCTTCTAGGAAAAGCTGGTTTGAGTTAAGCTTTACCAAGAATGAATCAACAGTTGCGAACTGAACATATAATAAATAGTAAAATATAATAAAGTTTAACGTTACCGTGACAATATGAAATCATCGAAAACGTCGACCGCGGCGTCATCTACGTTACTAATTGCAAGCAACGCCATCTGTTGCAACGTAGCACCAAACATCCACCGGTTGCCTATATACTAAAGTTAAGCGAGACACCTATCGGCGATTCAACGAAAGTTGCGCGTTACTTAGGTTGCCTACAGCGCGATGCAATGTTTCAAATCTTCGGACATGCTATTATTATGGGATTACGCAAGCAAACAAAAGCCTTTCGAAATTTCTAAGCCGAAGAGATAAATCTAGCGCGATGGAGAGAGACAGAGCCGTTCTTGGTGGAAAAATCGTTTCCATTGTGGCGAGAGAGCGAGCGGTTGTTTCGTTGCGAAAGTCGCGGAAGAGGACGACGCAAGAAGAAAAGCGCGACGTATAGAAAAGAAGAAAACGTTATTGATTGCGAAGACATCTATCAAACTTTACGAGAAAGAATTAAACAGGGACAAACAAGAATAAAGGAACAGGAGTAAATGGCTTCCTTGTACGCTACCCACTTGCAACTGGAAACTGCGGTCAAGTGGGCGTTGAAGATTTGAATAGAACCTTTGAAATGAAATGATATTGATATTTTGAAAATAAAATAAACACTGAAGACTTTAATGCGTGTAAAATTCATCATTCTCTTATTACTTTCGCAGAAGATTGATTGATGATGGGGTGACGAGGAGAAAAAGATGGATTTGGGGCAATAATTGATCTCAAGCACTCAGCGATATTAAAGTCCCCAAATGCAATTAAACTTTCATCCAAAAGACAAGAAGAAAATTTGATTTCTGATTTCTGATGGCCTAGCTCTATTTACTTGTATACAAACACAGCATTTCTATATTTGGTAAAAGTGGGGAAAATAAGTGAAGAGAAAGATTTGCTCTGGCCAAGTGGGTGTCGGTAATTGCAATCCGTCGTCGTGTCCAATGTCAACGGGTTTCTTTCAACGCTATCCTCCGCGTCCACCACTCTCGATGTCCGTTTGCGTATGGCGAATTTGTCAAAGTCATCGATTGTAAATTGCAATCAAACGGACATATACAAAACACACGAGCGGAAAAGAGACAGAGAGAAAGAGTACATTTTGCAATGGTAAAGTTCGTGGGAAACGAGCGAAAAATATCGTGGGTTAAACGCTCTTGCCCAACTGTCGAAGCAATAACGACAAAAAAAAAAGAAACTATATAGTAAGGAGCAATTTAGCAACAACAAAAAAAAACGTTTTACTTTTCGGGCGAAATTTTGGTAGTCTCAACGCCCACTGTTGTACCATTTTTCTTTTGCAACAACGAAACCATTTAGCGCTTTTGATAGTCATAAGAATGTTCTAATTTTAAGTATATTCAAGTTACCTGTCGGAAGAATTCCGGAAGTACGCATCTTTGGTCATCTAGTCTGGAGCTTTGCGCCTTCTCCAAAAGCTCGAACAGATCCGCAGTGCCTTTCTGTCGATCAGGACTGTGACCGGACTGTTGTTGTTGACTATTGGTCGACGTAACCGGAGGACCGTGCCATACCGTCGACGTGTTGGTTGAATGTTGTCTCCTGAAATTAAAAAGAAAAAAAATAATTAAATAAAATGTCAAATACTTTTGTAATACTAAGAACGAAAAAACGACAAACCCCGTCCGTGTACTTGTGTGTGTGTTTTATATAGTTTTATAACGAGCAGATTGACGCCGGTCGACGCTGTTAAATATTTATTTATTTATTTATATATGTATGTAAAGGGAAAAGTGTGTTTCGTTGGGTTCTGCGAGTTTAGTTAAGAACGGCGCTGCTCGTTTGCGTGGAGTTTATTGCGCGATCCGTGCGAACTTTATGGCCGATTTAAACCGGCGAGAGGCCGCCTCACGCACCGCAACAACCACCAGCAACAACAACATGCAAACCAACACAAGCAAAAAACAACAACATTCACCTGAACGTGCACTTACATTCCCGTCTATAAATCGAGGGGAAACATCACATCTTCTCAGTAACAACAACAACAACGGCAACAAACGCAAGAGGTACGGGCGGCAGCAACAACAACAAAAATAAAACGAAACTGCACATACGTGGAGAAAAAAAAAGGAATTAAGCGCTCCTCGTTACCAGCCACAAAGATATAAAAGTTTCCATGAACATAATTAAACTAAACGCACCACCGTCATCAACATCAGCCCATCATATCATGGTCGGTTTTACTGCGTTTTAAAATCTCGACATGTTAAACATCTACTAAAAGATATTCACATTATTTATTAACTCCTACGTTTGTACAACTTTAATGCAATGCAAGCGCCGATAATTCATCTTCGTCATTAATAGATATAATTGACACTTGCTGTGTGCGGTGTTACATAACGACTGGGCTGAATTTTGTGTGCGAAAACCGACAGTCGGATCTCGGTGTGTGCATGTAATCGACTTTATTGCCAAATAAGGAAGGCGAGTGAATGCAGCGAGCGAGAAGAAAAAATAAGTAAAGACAGAAGCGAAAACGTCCTTCGCGATTACCACGATGCGCGTTTCAATTAAATCAACACTAATAAGTTAATCAAGTGGTACAAAAGTGAACAAAAAGAAATAAGTTTTAACATGTTTCCGCAATGCTTTCTTATAGCGTGTACAGTTATTAATTTAAATAAAACTTTGCTAATGCAAACTATCCGAGATTTACTGCGTGTTACGCAACTCTTGTTATGGAAAGATCTATTAGCGAAGTGGAGAAAAAAAGGTGTGCGAGTAGTGTTGGGCGAGAACTGGGCATACTTACATACACACACATCGACACAATGGGTGTGGGCAAAAATGGATCAGGTGTTAAGAGAGAAAAGGAAGACTTTGAGAGAGAGAGTGAGAAAGAATTGGCGTCGCATGCAAACCTATAGCGACACCTTCGTGCACGTTTCCTTCTCATTGTACTTGGTGTTAACACCTTCATTGTGTGTTTCAGCGATACCAGTGATTACCGAAAATCATGAAATTGCAGGGTTTCGGTTTACCGACGAAAATGGGGGGTCCATAGGTGGGGGAGGGGTTTTGTTTGTCGTGTGCCAAAGAAAACGCACCCACACACAGCGCGGAACAGATGCGGTTAATTTTCGGACATATGGGGTGGACGATATGGGTTGGTTGGTTGGATCGGTGAAAAGGGTGCGCACACTAATAATACCATATTGCGTCAAAAGTGGGTTGGTTGAGAGGAGGTGGAAGAGGGTGGATGGATGATCGGGTGTGTTGATATCACCATCACCCTCTTCCACCTCAACACCATCAACCGTAACCAGAAGATAAGCCGAATAATCTAATTAGAAAATATTTAAATTAATTTCTCCGTTTCAACTGTTAGTGGACTCGCGTGACCAAGAGATCGAAGAACACACGCTTCGATCAGTTCACATTAAAAATATATAATTGAAATATATTCGCTCGACTCGTCATTTCCTCGCATCTGCCTATTATTAATTATAAATTTAAAAAATAATAAAAATAATAATCGCACCTTGCAAAAAGTAATTATTACCTTACAAGTAATGCAATTAGTGGTGGATTTCGTAAACTTCTCGCAACGGACGCTTTATTAATATTGCTTAATTATAGATTTTCTACGCGAGGCCTCAAAATGAACTTTTTTTTTTTCGTCCTAACGAATCTCTTAAGCACACACATATGTTGACTTTCTCATCGACATCATCATCTTCGCGTTTGCGAAATGTGTACGGCACATTTCACGCGTGCATCGAATTACGTTCCTAATTGAAAATTAAAATAAAATTACAATGAAATTTTAAAAAACATAAAAATAAAATATTAATTAAGCAAATATGAAATAGTAATAATGTACGAAGCGAAACAAAAACGAATGACCGTAGCAAATTAAAATAATGCAACATAAATATTATAGTTCTATTTGAAATCGATTTGTGACGCGCGTACAATAATTGATTTTGTAATTGCATTTAAACGTTTCAATTTAATTGACGACTTATTAAGCGTTTCTGCATTGAAATCGTAACCCACATCATCCTAATCTAATTGGAGTGCAGTTATATAGCAGTCTGTTGCACAGATGGTTTTCTGAAAGGGCTCTTAGGCGATGATTAACAAAGTTGGATCCATTAATCATTCGAGCAAATGGGACGAAGATTCCGCATCATCACAACTTCTGCACGTATCATTTTGAAACACGCAGAGTAAAAAAAAAATAAACAAAACATTTTTGGATGATGCGTAATCAATCATCTGAGGAGGACCAGACCGGACGAACGGATCGCACAATTTGCATAAACGAAGTCCCCGCATGTCGTAGTATTTATATAAAAAAAATAATAATATAACGCTTGCATATGGGACGCAATAGGTCACAAGTAATTGATGATTTTCTACCAAAAAAAAATTAGCATTTAACATGAACATACGGAGCGGCGGCGGTACGGCACGCGCTCTTCTGTTAAAATGAATTACAAATTAGTTAGATCGCTCGCATCTGCCCATTATTGTATTGTACGTCTAATTTTATATTTTTTGTTGTTGATGTAACCACGTGCGGTTTTGAGAAAATCGTAAGTATTAGTAAGTATTAGTAGCAGCAGCAAGTAGCATCTGCACCCGGGGGGATTGGATTTAGTTGTTTTAATTGGAACCCCCCAAAGTGAGAGACTTCTTTCAGAGAAACGAATAACGCCGAAAGGTCAGAGGAGGAAAGAAAGAAACGTAAAGATACGATCATCAAGAACAAAACGGGCAATTGTCGCAGCACGCTTTCGATGTTAATCATTCGATTAGAGATCGGACGGGCGATAAAAGAGTTAATTACCTGGCTAGCAACGGCTTAATAAAAGCGTGCTTATATATACATCAATTTCGATGATGTTACGTTATGTTGCCAAATCACGGACTGCTATTTATTACACGCGTCGGTCGCGACAATCTTAGGAAGGCGGATTCCTCCACTTCCGCGATCACGATCATCGTTCATTGTGCGCCTTATACGGGACACGATGATACCTGTTGTTATTTAATCATCGTCGGGGAAGGCATCGATTATTCTGCGATCTGCTCGATTCGACAACAACGATGATGATGACGATGAAGGGGCGGCAGCGGCGTTCATCCGGATACCGCAAAATCATCGTCCATCGTGTAATAATAATCGATTTCGAAAGTGGAGCGACGAGAGCCGTTTCTGCGCGTTCACGCTTTTTAGATTTCCAACCCACATTTTGAAGGAAGAACAGAATAGAATGAGCGCATAAAAATTCGCAATTAGCAAACTGATTTCAGTTACGTAAAGGAGTCGGAGCAAGCAGCATTAAACGTCGCACATAAATCAAAGATAGCAATGTTACAACAAAGAAAGATATCGAACAACGAATAGGTAGGTTTCTAGGTAATGTGTGTGTGTGTTACGTAAACGCGGAGAGAAATCCCGCAAACTGTAAGAGACGAAAAGCAACAAGCGCGCGCGCGCTTTACCTTGTTATATCAACTACTTTTTGGGCCCTCCGGGGACACATTTAAATTCCGCGCGGAACGATCCAGAAAACGCAACGTCAACTACCTTCCACAGTTTGAAGGCGGATTAATAAATGCGACGCCTTCGGAATAGACAATTCGGAAACGTCCGAAAAAGTTTATTCAAATCTGAGATTTGGACGAGTCACGTGAATTCTAATTGCCCAATTACAAATAACCTAATGCCTAATGTATATATTAGATAGAAGAGAGAGAAATCATTTGTTGTAAGAGAGGAGAAGAAGAAGCACGAACATTGAACTTCCCGCATAATAATAAAATAGTATTGGAAATCATAATTGAAAAGACGCTTTCTATTAAATTACATTAACCACCATTTCATCGGTACATTGAATATTGATATTAAAAGATTTCCATTTATTCCGTTCAATTTAAAAGTATTATTGAAAATGCCAAATTTGAAAATGATAAACTGATAACGATAATTTCGCAAACATCGTTTTACAAGTTTATCAAAAGAATGACGCAAAAGCAGGATATGTTATCAATGAACCCTATTATTAAGATAACTTACAGCAACTTCTTCATGTAACGTTTACGGGCGATCAGCGTGTAGGATTCGCGATGTCCGGCCGTGAAGTATTTCATTTTCATCTTGTAATCACTTGTACCAACTATTGCACATAATAGAAAATCCCCAAAATTAAACAACACCAAGTGTTATTAAGCAAGTAATAACCGGAGGATTATTATTATTATCAAACTAGAATCAATTATTGCACGATTATCAATCAAAATCCAATACGAATTCACTTGGATCGTCTCATCTCTTCCTCTCTTCGTGCGGACGCAACGAGAGCGCAAGCAAAACTGAAAAACCGAAAACGTGCGCTCGACTCGCTCCATCCAAACTCGGCCGAGCGAGTCGAGCGACGAGTCGATCGCCCTTCTTGCAGAGGTGAACGAAAGCCACCGGAAAGCCACGACTGATCGCGTAATTTGCGTGAATAAACAAATATTGTCCATCGAAATTTCGGACAATCACAGATCCATGACATGCAGATAGAGCAAAGAGCAAACAG